GCTGGGCCCTGCTCTCAGCTGGCAGTTCTCCTCCTATGTTGGCCGAGGCCTTGACCCAGACCAGCTGAGCATGCTGAGGAACAAGCTCTTTGGTACAAACCTCCTTTTCTCCCAGCCTTTCCCCAGCCGTAGTCTCCCCAGCCCTCCACCCTTTCTATTCCAAGGACCCTGGCCTTGCCTGCATCGATTACCTGAACTGTCTGTCTGTCCACAGGTCAGAACTCTAGGACTGAGGGCGCATTGTTATCATGGGCCGACTTCACTAAGGTAACTCCCTGCATCCTGTGCGACTACGTCTAGCCCCTGTGCAAACACTAGTCCTTGTCCTCCTTACTCCCATCTGTTCACTGGGAGCAACTAATCATGTCTCTTCCTGCCTTTCCATTCCTCCTGCAGCGAGAGAGCCCTCCTGGCAAGCTACCATTCTGGACGTGGTTAGACAAAATTCTGGAGCTGGTACATGACCACTTGAAGGATCTCTGGAATGATGGGTAAGGCCTTGGTCAGCCTCCCTCACCCCACCCCTAGCTTTCCGCCTTTCTGGGCTCGAGTGGACTCTGTGCGCCCTCATGTGGCAGAAAGGGAGAGAGCAAGCAAATGCTGGTGCAAGGTCACGCGCCTGACTTTTTCCGCTCATGATAATAGTCCTAGCATCTGTTGTGCTCCAGAACCTGCTGGATGCTCCATATGAACTCTCTCGTGTAATCCTTACAACCGTGTGGAGTCAAAGAGAAGTTAAATAATTCACTCAAAAAAAAAAAAAAAAAGAATTCACTCAATGAAAAAAAAATAATTCACTCAACGGGCCTGCTTGGGACTCAAACCCAGGCCTCATCTGACTGCAAGCCTGTGCTCCTCCCATCACACCACCTGCTCATTTGCCTTTCCAAGGTGCTTTTTCATCTGTGACCACACTGAATCCTCAAACCTCTTCCAGCCCTGCAAGGTGGATACCGTCAGTAAGAGGAAGTGACTTAGCCAAGAGCAAGGGCCAAACCCTGGCGCTGTCTCCCTGTACAAGGAGAGCAGGACAGCAGGACAGCAGGGAGGCATGAGGGCCTCACAGCAGCTTTCTGTTTCAGACGCATCATGGGCTTCGTGAGCCGGAGCAAGGAACGCAGGCTGCTGAAGAAGACCATCTCTGGCACCTTTCTCCTGCGCTTCAGTGAAACATCAGAAGGGGGCATCACCTGCTCCTGGGTGGAACACCAGGATGATGGTCAGCTGCTTCACCCCGATGTTCCCACAGCCTGTCCTTTCTGTCCCTCTGCCAGCCCTTGGCTTTCCTGGTTCTGTCTTGAATCCCTCAGCAGGTTGGGGCTTAGATGGCCAGGGTGGGGGACTCCCAGACCCGACTGTTTCAGGCCTGCCTCTTCCCACATCCATTCTGCAGATAAGGTGCTCATCAACTCTCTGCAACCCTTCACCAAGGAAGTGCTACAGTCTCTCCCACTGACCAAAATCATTCGCCACTACCAGCTGCTTACCGAAGAGAACATACCTGAGAACCCACTGTGCTTCCTCTACCCCCGAATCCCCCGGGATGAGGCCTTTGGGTGCTATTACCAGGAGAAAGGTAAGGATCGTTGATGTATGTCACTGAAGATTGCAGGGATTCTCAGGCATCTACAGATCCAGCTCCTTTCTTCCAGACATGGAAAAACTGGTAGCCAGAGAAATGAAAGGATTTGTCCCTGGGACACAGCTAGTTAGTAGGGAAATACAATTATCAAAACTGTTTACACGAGGGGTCCTTGGGCCAGGTGTCCAGTCCACTGACCTCCCTGTCCTCCTGCATATGTCCCCCACAGTTAATCTCGAAGAACGGAGGAAATACCTGAAACATAGGCTCATTGTGGTCTCTAACAGGTGAGAGATGCATTTCTTGCCCATCCTCCCTGGCCTTTGCTGGCTGATGTGGTGACCCAAACCTGCTCAGTTTGCCTCTCTGGCCTTCTCTCCTACGGGCCCATAGTCTCCAACCTCTAGGTTTTTTTCCTCGTTCTGCTAGCCTCTTTCTTCCCTAGTGCTCTGCTGCTATCCTTAGGTTGTTTCCACAGGGCTTCCCTGCTAATCAGAGTCATAATCACTGACGTTAATGGGCATCTACTTGAAGCATAGTACTAGATTTTTTTTTTTTTTTTTTAGAAACAGGTTTCTTTTTATTTTATTGAATTCTTCTGAGAACCCATCCAATTAGGTGATAACAGCCACATTTAAGAAAGTTTATTATGTGGCAGGTACTGGACTAAATATTTTGCATTTAGTTTCTTATTTATTGAATCTCCATAATAGTCCTGTGAGGCAGACATGGGTATTTCAGCCGAAGAACCTGAGGTTTAGTGTGGTGAAATGGCATGCCTAAGGTACATGGCTGGTAAATGATCCAGGTCTGTCAGATTCCAAAGTCCTGCTTTTAACCATCCTACTCTCTGAAGCGTTATTAGGTGGTGATGGTTCCATTTTATCGATGATAAATCTGAGGCACAGAAAGCTGAAGATTACCTATCTAATAAATGATAGGATTCAAACTCTGGCAAGCCTAACTCCAAAGCCTGTGCTCTTAAACCCTCTGCTGTATTGCCCTGTTGCCGCCTTTTAAAAAAATTTATTTATTTATTTATTTATTTATTTATTTATTTAAAGAGAGAGAGAATGCACGAGTAGGGCCGGGGTAGGAGTAGAGGGACAAGCAGAGAGAATCTCAAGTGGACTCCGCTCTGAGCATGGAGCCCGACGCAGGGCTCAATCTCACCACCCTGAGATCATGACCTGAGCAGAAATCAAGAGTCAGATGCTTAACCAACGGAGTCACCCAGGTGCCCTTGCTTTCTTGCCTTCTCAGTCGAGAGAGATAGTCTCCGCTTGCTCCGCCATTCTCCAGTTCACCTAAACAACTAAGCCCTGCCCTTTTGTGTGTATTACCGCATCCAGACAGGTGGATGAGCTGCAACAACCGCTGGAGCTTAAGCCGGAGCCAGAAGCAGAGTCCTTGGAGCTGGAGACAGGACTAGCCCCGTTGCCACAGCAAGAGCCATGCCTGGAGTTAGAGCCACTGCTAGCGGCTGGGCTGGATCTGGGGCCACCACTGGAGCCCATGCTGGAGCCTACGCTAGACATGGTACCCCAGGGAGTGTCAGAGCCAGACTTGGGACCAGAGCTGAGGCTGGAGCCTCTCCCAGACCTTGCATCACAGGCAGTGCCAGAGCCAGATCTGCCCCATGATCTGAGACACTTGAACACTGAGGAAATGGAAAGTAAGTGGTGAGATGGGCCTGGGGAAGTGGGGACACATTCCCTTTACCAACTGCCCTCCCTTTCCCATTATAGAAAAGGCTAAACTCTAAGCTCCTCATTGGAGGGAGGCTCATTTCTTTGTGATCCCTTTTATTATGAAATGTACACGCCTTCTCCTTCCCTGACCTAAGTGCCTCCTCACACCTTGTCCAGGCCTCTACTGCCATCCTCCTTCATTTTCCCTGCGGGATTGGGAACTTCTTACCAAAGATCGGGGACTGATTTCTTTTTCTGGACTGTCTAGTTTTCAGAAACAGTATGAAGATTGAGGAAATCATGCCAAATGGTGACCCACTGTTGGCTGGCCAGAACATCATGGATGAGGCTTACGTCTTCCACTCCAGCCATTTCTACACGGATGGACCTTTGATTCCTTCTGACTACTAGGAACTGCATTTCCTGTTCTTCCTGTATCTTTTGTCCCTGCTACCCCCTACATCATGATGTTGCTTTCTAAGAATGGAAAACCCATTCTAAGCTGGTTAAGTTAACTCTGGGTTTTGGAGTGGAAAGTAAAACCATACTACGGGTACGAAAGAGGCACCAATGAATCAGAATAGATGTTAGCGATGGCTCTAACTAGTATTTTAGGCCTGTTTTGGGAGGTACAGGAGTTCTGAGGGTAGGCCAGGACAGTTAGGAGGTACTTAGAAGGCTCAGGCACTCGGAGTGGCTTCTTTCCAGTGTGGGAGGAATGTCAACATTCGAATAGTTGGTAAGGCTAATGTGGTGGTGCCCACAGCATTGGCCATTGGTAGGGAACAGAGACATGTATGGGATTCCATTTCTCTCTTCTGGGTCCCTCATGTCTAGATCTAGAATAATCTTTTCCTTCCTTCTTCTTCTCACTCCTGATTCAAGTCCTAAATTCCTTTGTTTCCTGCAGAAATTGAGAGCTTTCTGCTTCAGCCTATCATGTGAAGCTCCCCTCAAAAGAAGGGAATAGGAGATAAACCTCCTCTGCTTAACAGTCTCCTCCCCTGCCTCCCAAGCTGGCCACACCCATTCCTTCCCCTAAAATGATCCTGCCAATCTAATATGCCTGTGAAGCTTTGCACAATAATTCTCTCTGTCTAGTCTCCACTTCCTCACTGCTTAGGAGACCAGCTGTTACTCTTGGAGGTCAAGGATGGTGGAGTTGCTGGGCATTTAGGAATCGCTTTTTATAGTATAGGTAGAATTTGATATTTTTACAGAGCAAGATCTTGCTCTGCGTCTTGGATATTTCTCTGTTAAGATATCATTCATTCTTTTGTGCAATATATTGTTTTTCTGAAAGAGTTTCTGTTCCTTGGGTGTGGACCTGGGCAAAAACCAGGTTCCTGGAACTTAGAACCTTGAATGTTTTTCATGGGGCTCCAGACAATCTCACACATTAGTCATTCCCAGGGAACCCCAGGACAACTGCCTTTGTTCTAAAATATGTTTCTAGTATGACTTGAGACGTAACAGAAGTGAGGCCCTGCACATGGGGCTGTTTTCTGGCTGGTATGTTAGAGGAATAGTCCTGTTCAGAAAGAGGCCCTTCTGAGCAGATGTGGCTAATAAACTTCGTGCTGACCTAGAAGTGTTTCCTCTCTGAACTTCTTTACTTCTCGGCTCACAAAGACTAATGTCCTTGGAGACACTAGCAGGCCATGTAAGATCAAGGTCAGCAAATCAGGACCCATATTCCACTCACCCCAGTAGGCACTCCCTTGTAATTTTTTTCTTACTCCCCTGTTTAGAACAGCCTTTCCTGTCCCTTAGATTCTTCCAGAAGTCTGTGAGCCATATATAAGTTGGGGGGGTGGGTACGGTTCTAGAATGGGCAGTTTTGAACTAGCCCATTGTCACTTGGCTGTTTAGTGACAAAGCCAAGATACAAGCCTGGTTCTGTTTGACTTCAAAGCCTGTGCTTTTTTAATGTTGTGACTATGGAGAAAAGGAAGGGAAATGATCACAGTAGCCTCCCCCTTCTCTTTGCTTCAAAGATAGTTTACCTCCCCTTGGGTAGTCAGGCCCTCCGATGGGGCTCACAGATGTCCTTAAGGGATAATCCCATTAATTTGGGGGATTTACCACCATCTTCCTGGAATACCCTTTCTGCTCAAAACAGCTCTGACTTTTGATCCTGCAGTGATCGGGACTCCTGTCTTTGGCCAAATACACTCTTGGCCAAGAAAGTAAGGAGGCACAGGGTCAGGTGGCAAAGGGAGTCACATTTAGGGGCCCAGCTTCCTCATCTTAACCCTTTGTAATCCGATTCAGCTTGCTTAGCTATGCCAGGATCTAGACCTAAAAGATCCTTGATACTCTATGTATATACCAGTAGGTCAGGAAAATATATCCTTGTCCACTGGAGCCCTGCAGAAGGATGCATACAGTAGTCCTTTGGCCCTCTTTTTCCTTTTCCCAACCAAGCCTAGAAATCAGACTCAGATATCCACATAAATAAGTCTTTATTGAAAAAAGTACATAATTCAATATAAATATAATAAATAATCCTCCCCAAGCTGCTGCCATGAGGATAAATAATCTTAAGTTTTCCCTTCCTATTGAATAAATATTCAACTTTGTCCTAGGTCAGCATCATAAGTTAGTCAGTATGCAACATATGCAAGTCTCATTAGAATTAATGGACTGATAACTTATTGGCTCACAGGTGCCCGGGCTGATTCATTTAGCACTGCTGAGCCATGGAGATCTGGGTACCATCCTTAAGCCATTGGCTTTACAGGCTTAGGGTTGCTGCTCCGTGGGCAAAGACCCGGGCAGCTACAGCCACAAAGGCCTGGAGGCTGCGAAGGATCTTGAGGCGGAGGAGGAGGCGCTGCCATGGCTGGCTGGGACTGGGGCTTGGAGTTTGCTCAGTCTCCCAGTGGTGACCCTCTGGCTGAAAGGATACAGTACACAATCAGAACTCTAGATCCTTCACCGTCCAGTCCCTCGTCCAGTCCCTGTGTCTGATACCTGCAAGCCCCCATTCTCCAGGCCCCTAGTTCATACCTGCAAGAGTTGCCTAAGGCCCAGAAGGTTGGCGTGAAGCTGGCCCACAGGGCCATCAGAGAGTAGAGAAGGCTCCCCTGTGAAAATGTCTGAGCCCAGCAGTTTCTCATAAAAAACCAGGCCCTGGTGGATCCTTTGTAAGCAGAACTGGTGGGAGGAAAGAAAGCAGTGAAAGAAAACATCCTTCTTCCTACTCCATTCACCAAAGACCCACCCAGTGCTTTGTTCTTAGACACCACTATGGTCTGGATGTTTGTGTCCCCACAAAATTCAGATGTTGAATTCTAATCCCCTAGCATAATGGTATTAGGAGGAAAGGCCTTCACAAAGTGATGATGTCATGAGGGTGGAGGCCTCTTGAACTCAATTAGTACTCTTCTAAAAGAGACCCATGGAACTCCCAAGGCCCTCTGCTGTATGAAGATCCCAGAAGTCTGGGCAGCCCCGGTGGCCCAGTGGTTTAGTGTCGCCTTCAGCCCAGGGTGTGATCTTGGAGACCAGGGATCGAGTCCCATGTCGGGCTCCTTGCATGGAGCCTGCTTCTCCCTCTGCCTGTGTCTCTGCCTCTTTCTCTCTCTGTGTCTGTCATAAATAAATAAATAAATTCTTAAAAAAAAAAAGAAAAAAGGAAAGAAAGAAAAAGGTCCCAGAAGCCTGCAGTCTTGAATGCCCTTACCTACCATGCTAGCACCCTGATCTCCGACTTCCAGCCCCCAGAACAGTGAGAACTAAATTTTGGATGTTTATAAGCCACCCAGTCTGTGATATTGGTTACAGTAGGCTGAACGGACAAGGACAGATCGAACTTTTACTAATTCACCACAATACCCAATGATGTACCAGTCCCCTCGTCCTTGTGGTCTACCCTCATCTTACTACCTGGCTGTTGTCTTTGAGTCCTTGGGGATCACAGCCATCCCCGCACTGGATGCGGGGGACATCACTTGTAGTCTCGCCATCTCCCTCTTCTCTTGGTAGGTCCTGGAATGCAGGAGGGAATGGGAAGATTAAAGAGATAAGAGAAATGTTTTCAAACTCCACTAGGCCCATGACTCTCCCCAGAACCTCACTCCCCTGTCCTCTCTTACTCTCTGATGACCTCCGGACCCTCCAGCTTCCTCCAAAGCTAGAGAGTCTCCCACTGCATCCTTGGAGAGCTTGGATAGGCTCCTGTTTGGTGCCCGAGCCTGCCACTTACCACATGTCCCATGGGAGGATGTGCACTCCACACCAGCGTGCAGAGCTTCTGTGAGAGCTGCTGGCCCTGAATCCAGGCAGGGCTACTGCCCTCAGGCATGGCCCGGGGCTCAGCAGTCCAGGGCAGCAGCAGCAGCAGCAGCAGCAGCAGCAGCATCACAGCCCTGCTTCCCAGCATCTCGCTGCCTGCTTCTCAAATCTGGCTGGCTCTGGGCCTTGCACTGGTCCTTGTGGAATCTCTGCCCACTTCCCTGTGCTGAGCCTGATGCTCTCCGCTCTGTGAGTCTCTGGTTTGGTTCCTTCTGTTCTGTTTCTGAACTGCTTCCTGCTGTTTTTCTCCCCTTGTCTCTGAGTCTCTTTTTAAGGTCCCTGCATTGTAAGACCCGCCCTTTATACTAGCAGGTGACTCACAGCAGGTGGGATTCCCCTCCCTGCATCATCCCCCTCCGTGGGGAGCCCAGGTATGCAGCCTTAGTTCCAAGGGAAATGAGACGTGTGGTTGCTGTGGCTGGAGGCCTAGGATGGGGCATATGTGTAATGCTCTCCATGAATCGAAGTGGCTGTAGAGGGGGTGGGGGTAGGAGGAACGAATATTTAAATGAATCTAGTCTCAAGTTCCTTCCTGTTTAACTTTTCCCTCATCTTTTTGCCTCTGAAAGCTATATACTTCCCCCTAGCACCTAATTTCCTTACCTCCTGCCTGAGAAAAATAAAAAACAAGCATTCATTTATTTCCCAATAGGATAGTGAGCTGTTTGGAATGAAGTTTGGTTTCCACCTGGTGCCCTCTATCTAAGAACCAGGGGGCTTCTTTTTCTCTCTTGAGAACAATTATTTTCACTGGAAGAGAATGGACTCGATGGTACTTTGTGAACTGGGAAGCCATATAATGCCATAAAACATTACTGCCCCCACTTCAGGCCTCATTGTGGAGACTAGGAGGGCTTGGGGGCTCTTGGAGGGAGAGAATTGTTGCTGAGAACCTTCTGACTCCTCAGCCTTAGTGGCCCAATGTTTCATAGGATCTGTGGGGTTCAGGTGGTGGTTCTTTTGGGATGCCAGGGTAAGCAAGGGCTAGATATTCTAACGCCTAATCCCTGTCCCACAGCTAGGAAGTCCAGGAGGTCTAGGGAGTTGAGGTGCGCTATGTCAGTGACCCTGGCCAGTCCTTCAGCCTGTTGCATCCATGGGTAAAATCCACTGACACTGATTTCATCACCCTCCCTGATGCAACATCCAGTGAAACAGCTGAGAATGTGAAGTTGGGCGTGGGAGTGGGGGGTGGTCCAAATCTGGGACTGCCCCAACCCCAGTGGAGGGTCCCAGAACAATTTGGACGTCAGAATGAGGACATGGCTGACCACACAGATGGTCCTTAAGGCCTCCCCAAGAAGTTCACCCTTCTCTGAGTAACTTACCCTTGATAGAGGTCTCCCTTCCCTTAGAACTATTCAAAACTGCCCAATGAAACCTTTGATTCAAATATTATGACTCTGTGGTAACTTTCCTTTGGATAAAATATTTCCAGCATCAGGAGAGATAAATCTCAGTGTGAGTGGGAAATGGTTTGCCTCTGTCTACCTATGTAGACACAAATGGAATAAGGAAACGGGGATTGTAGGGGGAGGAGAGGAGCTCACCTTACTGTGTTTAGTATCTCCTGTGGCCCCATTCTGGGAGGCCTAAGGGACAGGAGATGAAAGGTAAAAGGAGGAGGAGGAAGTAGACTCCTGGGGGATGGGATGACTGAGACAAGGGTGAGTTGTAGGCACGGGGCTCTGCTGCTTTGTTTCACTTCCTGATGCTTCAGAGATTTGGGTAGGAAGCAAGGTTGGTGGGGTGATTGTGGGACTGTTCTGTGGCAGGAACTACTTCCAGGACTGATCTGACCTGGAGCTGCCGTGACCCCTTGACGTCAGCAGGGCCACAACCGTTATGCAAATCACATTCACAAGACACTCCTAAGCAGCCTTTTCAGTTGGATGCCCAAACTCCAAATCCAGCTGAAGTTCCCCTAGGTAATTAATACTGGGGCTAATATACACGCAACTCTCACTTTATGCCAAGTACTTGGTGCAAGGCCTTTTCATGTATTAACCCATTTAATTCTCACAACAGCCCAGTGAGGTAGGTACTATTATCATCCCTATATTACAGAGGAAGAAAGAAATGAGTAATTTATACAAGATCACGGATCTGCGTGGCCAGAATTCGGGGGCAGACAATGTGGCTTCAGATCCTGCATTCTCCATCATTCTATTACACTAGACACCACGAGGAGACACGAAGCAGCTTTATAAAGCAGCTCATCTAGCCCAGGTGTCTGTCTCTGCCATGGGTCTTCCCCCATGTAATTCTCATAGGTCTGCGAAGCCTTTCTCAATCTGAGACCTCAACATGGAAATTTCTCCAAGTGTACGATGTGCAAACTGTCCAATCTCTCAGCACCCATCTTTTCCCAAGATTTTTTTTTTTATTTTTAGAGATTTTATGTATTTATTCAGGAGAGACACACAGAGAGAGGCAGAGACACAGGCAGAGGGAGAAGCAGGCTCCGTGCAGGGACCCTGGGGTCAGGCCCTGGGCCGCAGGCAGACGCTCACCCGCTGAGCCACGCAGGGATCCCTTTTTCCGAGATTTTAAATCTAGGGACCTGTGAAGTCAGATCAGTTTGAGAGACCCTCTGAATTAAGGCGTCTTTGACTTTTCCAACGGACTCTAGGATCCCTGAGTTCCAGAAGTCTAAATCCTGGAGTTCTTTCCTTGCAGCGTATCTGGCAGCCAAGTATTGGGAGAGAATGCGCGAACTCTGCCCCCGTGAGAGCCTTCCCTCGGGGCGGACCCCTACGCGTCCTTTGGAAGCTGAGCAGACGGGCGTGGAGGCCGCTCCCCAACTCCCATCCTGCAGCAGCTCAAGCTCCGAATCCCTGACTACCGCCCATGCTCAGTGCGTGAGCGTCGGGGCGGGCGGACGTCCCGGCCTGCCGTGCTCATCCCCGAGGCACAACGGCCGGCTCCGGGGCCGGGGAACTGCACGGCGAGGGTCTCGCTGCCCGGGACGACCGGGCGTGTGCGGCGGCGCCTCTCGGACGGGGAGTTTCAGACGGATGCGAGCGGGGCCGCGGAGGGCGCGGCCGGCCGGCCAAGGGCCAGGCTCCCGCTTCCTGTTTTCTCCCCCATGCCTGGAAATGATAGGAAATGCCGGCGAATTTCGGCGAGTTTCGGGGGCAGCGGGGTGAGGTGGCGGCGCGGCTGCCGCGAGCACCGCGGGAGGAGGGCGCGCGCCGGCCCTGCCGGGAATACCCAGCGTTCCCAGGGCTCCACCCCGGGCGCCCCGCTCCCAGAGGCGCGAGTCGCGGCGAGCCGGAAGCTCGGCTTCCCAGCCAGTTCTCCAGCTCGGTTCTAAGGAAGCCTGAAAGAGAACCGGCCGCGCTGCCGACGCGTAGCACAGCGGGGCGGCCGCGTGTGTCCCCGCCGGCGGCCCGTAGCCCGCGGCCCCAGCGCGTGCGTCACGCGTCTGCCGCGGCGCCGGCGGCATCTGGCTGCTCCTGATTGGCCGAGGGCAGCCCCGCGCCCTTCCTGATTGGACGCTGCGACTGGGCACGCGCCATCCTTCCCGCCGTAGGGTTTGGTTGAGCATCAGGCGCGGGGGAGAATTGGGGAAACTGGAATTTCCCGCGGAGCTGACGGCGCTTGCTCTCCCCCTACTCGTTTTAATTCCACGCGCTCCAAAATATCCGCCATGGAGAAATCTTGGTAATGACCCAATCCCCGTAAGCATCCCAAGAACACATCTGACCCCTGCCCTAATCCCTCCCCTCCCCGCTGCCGGGGAAGAATTGTGGGTAATTGATTTCTCTGGCTCCCCTAGAGAATTGTGGGTAACTAGCCACTTTCATCATGTCCCCCCACCCCCGCCCCAATTGTGGGTAACTGGACGTTCTTATTTTTCCCTGAAGAATCCTGGGTAACACTGCAGAGGATTCTGGGAAACTGACTCCTCTTGGTCTCACCTCCCAACCCCCCACCTCTCATCCCTAATTTTGGGAAACAAGCACCCTAGCCCCACTGCCTAACTCCTGTCTCGCAGTTGCTGCCCCTTCCACTGATGGTTCTGGGGTGAACCAGGCAAGTGAGCAGGCCTGAAGGGAGATGGAAAGGAAGCCAAGTCTTAGGTTAGATAGTAGGGTGGTGGGGAGTACAGAGGGCCTGGGGGAGAAGAGGGGACAGGACTTCCACCCCTACCCGCCCTGCCCATGCCCTTCCTGCCTGCTTCTTCCCCTACCTGGCATTCTCACATCTGCCTGCCTCATCTCCCTCCTGCCCAGATAATCGGGAACACACTGAATACAAGTACCTGGGCCTGCCACTGACTCAGCTACCTCTTTCCCTTTGCAGGCCAGGATGTCCCTTCTAGGCCCACTGGTGCTGTTCTGCTGAAGGTTGGGTCAGGCCCCTTAAGGGCCTGTTGCAAGGGAGGGTGTGCCACGGGTCTAATCTGCCGTCGTTATCATGAACTTCGAGGGCCTGGACCCTGGACTGGCAGAGTATGCCCCCGCCATGCATTCTGCCCTGGACCCTGTCCTGGATGCCCACCTGAATTCAAGTCTGCTACAGAATGTGGAGCTGGATCCGGACGGGGTGGCCTTGGAGGCTCTTCCCGTCCCGGAGTCAGTACACATAATGGAAGGTGTCTACTCTGAATTGCACAGTGTGGTGGCCGAAGTGGGTGTGCCTGTCTCCGTCTCCCACTTTGACTTGCACGAGGAGATGCTGTGGGTGGGAAGCCACGGGGTAAGAACTGTACCCCTTTGTAAGGGATGAAAGGAGATGTTGGAGGTCTTTTATCTGGCTTTAGCCCAAGGGCAGCTGCTTTACTGGGAGGCAGAACTGAGTTGAGGTGATGAGAGTTAGTTGGGTTCTTTTTTTTTTTTAATTTTTTTAAAAATTTATTTATGATAGTCACAGAGAGAGAGGGGCAGAGACACAGGCAGAGGGAGAAGCAGGCTCCATGCACTGGGAGCCCGATGTGGGATTCGATCCCAGGTCTCCAGGATCGCGCCCTGGGCCAAAGGCAGGCGCCAAACTGCTGCGCCACCCAGGGATCCCAGTTAGTTGGGTTCTAAGTCAAGTCAGGAGGAGGGGAGTGGACGGAGCCATAGGATCTAGGGAGAAGATTCAGAGGCATATTTTTCTACCACTATTTGCCCATTCCAAGCTTTGATTAATCTTGATAAGTGTACTCATCAGTTAAGTCTGTAGTGTCCAAATCCAATCTCTAATGCTGTTCCTTTGTTTTCCATTTTTATAATTATAGAATGTAACAAACGTGTTTCTGAATACCTTATATGGAGTCATTTTGTCTTCTCTGGCTGATTTTAATCTCTCTTAAGAGCAGTTATCAATGTTAATTTTTAAAAAAATGTGCATCTATATTGCCAATATGCTAGAGAGCCTAAGATTCTGTAAGAAATAACATGTTATCGTTGGTTTACTAATTTACCTTCCATAGAGCATGATTTGTGCTTTTTTTTTTTTAATCAGAAAGAATGACCTTTTTTGTTAATACATTCATTTCAGTAGGCAGTGTTTGTTATGCTTGGTGTAGGGAATAAAGCAGAATAAAACATAATCCTTGCCCTGAGGAATTTATAGAATAATGAGGAAGAAATGATACATAAACAGATAACTTTGTGATATTTTAGAAGAAACTAAATTGTTTCACTTATTAATTATAAATGTAAGATATAGACTAAGTGCCAGTATAAAAATATGTACTGGGTGGAGAAGGGTCAGAGGGCCTCCAGAAGGAAGTGACACCGAAGTCCTTTTCTGAGAGGTGAGTGGGAGTCCGGTGAAAAGAGGAGGAAATGCTATCTTGGCAAAAGCAATAGAATATAACATTCCCAGGATGATATACACTGACTTCAGAGTGCAGGAACTATAAGCAATTAAGATTTACTGTACTGGAAGATAAAGGTGAAGAGTTAGACATTATTCCATTCAACTAGTGTTTTTTGAGCACCTACTAGGTGCCAGACCTTGCTCTGTGGTCTAGGTTTAGAAAAAAACATTTAAAAAGACAACAACAAAATATATATACATATACATATGTTTTTAAAGATTTTATTTAGTCATGAGAGATATATAGAGAGAAGCGGAGATACAGGAAGAGGGAGAAGCAGGCTCCCCACAAGGAGTCTGATGTGGGACTTGATCTCGGACCCTGGGATCACGCCCTGAGCCAAAGGCAGATGCTCAACTGCTGAGCCACTCAGGCGTCCCCAACCAAAATATATTTATAATATATTAGGTATCGTTTAGCATCTTTAAGGAAAATAAAGTGGAGTAAGGTGGTTGAGGTAATGAAGGGTGGGAGGTGTTACTGTTTAGATTATTTGGTCAGGGAAAGGTCTCTCTCATAAAGGCACATTTGAGTAGCGACCTGGAGGCCAGGATGTCCATTCTAAGTTTTCTAGAATGTAGAGAGGAAGCCATGGAGATATCTGGGGGGAAAACATTCTAGAAAAACCACATGCAGGGTTATAAGAGCTTGAAGTTGAGCTTTCACACTATTGAAGATTTTTATCCAGAATGATAAGGTTAGGGCAGCCCTGGTGGCCCAGCGGTTTAGCACCACCTTCGGCCCGGGGTGTGATCCTGGAGACC